AAAATCCGGAGCGTGGAGACAGATTCTGGACATCTCTCAGTCCAGCACTCGGTACGAAGTGTTCATACCAGCAAAAGCAAACATGCTGCTGCCGGGAAGAAAAGCTTACACAATGAAATATAACAGCCATACGCAATACTGTACAAGCATTCTGGGGCACCATCAGGGGGTCCAACCTTTTTCCTAACAGCGCGAGGGCAAAAGCGGCTCCTCCATTGGCCAATCTTTGGCCAGAAAGAGCCAGTCAGCGCCGAGCTCTCCACTCATCCCACAACTATCCAAACACTCCGATATGTTTTGTTTATCAGGCCACCTGGACGTGCATCTGGTCAGCCAGGGTGTAGGCCTGTCAAAAGCACCGCCAGATGGGCGTGCATTAATAACCGTGTCTTATGTGTCAAAATCACAAGTGGCAAACAGTGACTTTAAGGCTGCTTTGAAGCCCCAGAAGCTGCTTTATGTGGAGCGGGGTGAATGAAACACTGATTGGGGTGACGGTGGGGAAAGGCAGGCAATCAGAGACGCAAATTAATTAACGAGCACTCCTGTTTCAGGTCAGCACTTCACCGCGCTCTCTCTCTGCACTAATAGACAAATTACATAATGGGCTCTGAAGAGAGAGAGAGGTTTGACATAAGGTAACCTCTCGAAATAACAAAAGAGATGCAGAGAAATAATTAAGAGGCTCTGATACGAAACAGGAGGCATCTCAGCTTCATAATGAGAGGGACGATCGTATTCTGCACTTGAAGCAGCTCTGGGTGAACTGCATGGAGAAAAACGTTACGTAACGATTTTTTTTTTATTCTAATGGGTTTAATCAGAGATGTAAAGCAGCAAAGGGGAGAGTGGGAGGATCGGGTCAAGCTAAAAACTGGGATAGTATGATGAAATACAGAAACAGGGACTTTGCCAAGTACTGATTAAGAGTGGTAATTATTTTCAGAGGACTAAATCTCGCTGTTTTACAAAAAGCTTTGTGTTGGGAGTTTGGCTGAACAGCCTGAGGCAGTTGTACAGGACAGAGTGTGAAATGCGGACCATCAAAACAGATAATACATTAACACCCTGAACACCGCGGTGCTTACTTGGAAGTTTAGTGTTACAAAGTCCATCATTTCGTAATTGATTTCCTAACAACTTCCTCTTGGATGGGGCGGCTATCTGTGTGAAACGATTAGAGCTTCAAAGAAGAGGCCGTTTTCCCTGAAATGTGGAGTCACTGAGAGAAATGGGCCGGTGCTGACAAGATTTCTGCAAGTCTTGAAGCCACACGTTGGGCTTACGTCTCCTGTCTGAACATTTAAAATTTGAATTTGAACTTTACATGTCCGACAACAGTAAGCTGGAATGAAATAACACTTCTCAGCTTTTACTTTTATAAGGGCTTCATAGAATTGTCTTAAAATACAATTATAAATACAAAAATAACATTTTTTGTAGAAGAAAAAATGAAGTGTGAATGTTGACTCTTGCTAGATAGAAGCTAAAAACAGCAAAACACTAGCTAAAAACTAAAGGTAGCATAACAATAAAAAAATTGAACAAGTACGTTGAAGCAAATTTAAAGGGGACAAATCCCGCAAAATTCACTTTTTAGCTGTTAAATACATTTTGTTGTGGGCTTGGTGCTGCAAGGATATCTTTATATTCTGTTTGTGTCATATTTTTCAGCCCGTTCAAGTTTTCTCTATTTTCTATGATGTTTTCTGAACTATTACGTCAAATTATCTTTGATGGAATTATCATATAAGGCCTGGATTTACAGACTTCATTTCCTCGTCTTTATTCTCACCTGGTTCTGGGTCAGACTGTGGTTCTGGGTCAGACTCTGGCTCCAACATGTAAGGCTGGATCGACAAGTCTTTCTATTTTTGACATTGTTATGGACTAATTATCTATCCGTTTCACCTTGACGCTGTCCAGTACTCATATATCTTATGATCATTGTCAAATCTGTTTGCCCAGACGTCAGGACTCCGCAACGGACTGACCTCTCTTGKTTGATAAGAAACTCTTTGAGCTGAGAGCCCTGTGATTGGCTGGGCAGTACATTTGTCGATCTGTGATTGGTTATAAGCACGTCATACGATGTTATCATGGTGTATATTATTGGCTGCTTTCCGCTAACGTGTCAGCCACAAGCCGACAGAGCTTCCTGATTGAGTCCTGTTTGTTTGTCGCGCAGAATTAAATCATTATTGACCACCATACACGCAGACTTTCTGTGCATTATTCCAACGTGTTTCTGCATTCTTGGTAAATCATGCGACGACAAAAATTGGCGTTGTCGGCAGGATTTACCAAGAATGCAGAAACACTTTTAATTTAATTATAAATAAAATGCTTCTGCACCGCTAGAAAATGCTAACCCCCTCTCTCAAACCAGAGCGGACCGGTCTGGAAGCTGGAGGGGGCGGGACTTGAAGCATCTTAAAGGAACAGTAACAAAACCAGCTGCTTTGAAACACAGCATAAAAATGGTGAAAGAGGAGCTGGTGAAGTTAAAATAAGGAGGAATTCAGACCAACGCATTATAGCACCACTTTATAAAGACTCCAACTAAATGATTTGAATGTGAAAAGGATTTAAAAGCATCATAAGTCTACTTTAAAAATATATATTTTTAAAGAAATTAAAGAGACTGTAAGTATATATATATATATATATAGTATATGTACTGTATGTCAATACAGTATGTGTGTATTTGTAAGTTTATAAATAAAACTGAATATTCAAAATAAAAAAGTTACAAAGCAAAAACCATTGCAACTGTCTTCTAAATGAGCTAACTCTTTTGATATTTGAATGGCTAAATAGCACCAAGTTTGCTGAATTGCAATACAAATATAAACGAATACATAAAATGTGCACGGAAAACAATAATTATAAAAAAAATTATGACATTTCTGAACTTTCATCACAAAATTGTGATTATTTTTCAGTTTCTGTTGAGGATAAAAAGTTGAAACTCAAGCTGAAATCAAAGGTTTGACATTTATCACTAAAGTGTAAGAAATAAAAAAGAATAATGCTGGTATTATCCTTTAACCCAGATTCCTGCTGGCTTCATGCTCCAGCAGGCAAACGCCTGGTAACTGGTGTCTTATGGAGCGGATGATGGGATGAATGTTTGCTGCTGCGCTCACTACTACCTGCCTTTAAGTGGTGACTCCGTCACACCTCACATCTGCCAACTCGTTAATACAATCACTGGGAGGACGAGGCTCCCACGTGCTGAACGGTGCATTTAGGTGCAGTCTGTGGATTATTATTCATAAAGTCTATTCTTAATAATCCTACTTCCCAAACATCACCCTGCTTTTTATAAACTGAAGACTGCAGAATAAACCACTTCGACCTGAGGGTTTGTGTCCAGCCAAGCAGACGTGGAAAAAGGGAGACGGACTATTTAAAGGATTTAACAACGCCGTCCAGATGCTGAACTTTGTGGTATTCCATTTATTCCCAGTACTCGATGTCCCGGCCAATGATATCCGAGTAACATCCGGCGAGCTGGGGAAATCCTGGGACTCAGTGCTGGCAGTGCTGCCAAGATCAGGCCGGCTGCCATGAACCTTGATGTCAGATAACAGAAATAAAAGTGATGCCTCTCAGAGCAGAAACCACCACAACACGCAGAAGTGAAAGTCTTTGATCTTTACAGCCTGACTGGTGTTTTACTGGAGGTGATGCCAGATAATCTGGGTTGGATTTTTTACACTGATATTACATAAAGATGTCAGACAGATTTACGTGAAATGAACTTTGCTATTCTTGAAACAAACAAGTTGCAAGTTCCATAAAGTGATGTATAAATAAAGTAATTATGTATAAAAAAAAAACCACATAAATACAATAAACTGCAAAACTAATGTCCCATAAATAACGTTTTGAATCTCAAAAAGACTTCAGAAGACCGTTGCAGTCCAACAACAGAAATGAAAAAGATCAAATCATTTAAAGCATGTGTCAAACTCAAGGCCCGCGGGCCAAATATGGCTCTCCACAGCATTTTACGTGGCCTCCGGGAGCATCAAAGATGTATTAACGTCTTTAAAATAAGCATATGATGCTTTCAAGCCAGCATTTACCATAAACTATACCTCCCATATTACATGATTATTTTACCCAACAAATTTCGACATCCCACCACTAGGTGGAGCAGCACAGGGGTAAAAAATAACCGACAGTCTGTCGTGTAAAATCTACATTTAGCTGTTGTTTTCCTAGCTATATTTGCTGCAGCCTAGTTGCACTGTGAAGTGGGAACTTCCCACTTACAAGTCGTAAACTGGAATGCCCCTCTAGTGGTAACTTCCTGTTACAAAGTGGGAGAGTTCAGAATTCAAGATGGCTGCTACTCACAACACTTCAGTGAGTAATACTTATACTTTCATTTATAATAATATTTCTGTATTATTTATTTCACATTTAGTCAGTCGTATACAGTATTTTTCAGTGTTTATAAGAGGATGTTAAAACGTCATTTATATGCAGGAAATACCAGGTAGAGCTCAGCCATAGCGATGAGAGGAGGAACGGGACGTTTCCTTTTTAGGTGAAGGTAAACGTGAGACATCAAAATTACAACTGGGCCTTTGAGGGTCACCTTGATGCTCACGTGGTCCTCGGTTAAAATAAGTTTGACATCCTTAATTTAAAGGCTGATTTGGTTTTAAAAAATTTATATGTTAGTTTGTTCAAACACAGAATGTTGTGTGAAAAAGTGAAAACCCTTTTTTGTCCCTTTGTCTCAAACTGTATAAATGTCTGAGTTGCACCCAAATTTGACCTCATTCTTTCAGTCTTAACTCAGTTTTTATTAAGTTACATAACTTAAAAATAACCCAGCTCTTAAGGGTGAGAGTTTTTCCATTTATTCCCACAACTCAAACAAGATGATATTAAAATAAACACGATGAGGTTTCTCGTTGGCGCTGCTGCTGAATTTTTCCCTGACCACTTTTGTGTGAAAAACAAGGCATGTGCCATCATTCTTTTTTTTTTTCCTTTTGTTTAATGTTCAAAATGTCAATTCATACAGATTATTTTTTCCACAACAGAGAACAGTAACACAAAATGTCAGCACCAGGTCAACAAATGCAACATATATTTGATTTTTTATTTACATGTGAACATTTCTGAGGTCAACACGCCCCACTTTTCCCAAAAAGAACTGAACCCAAACAACTACTTTTATTTACATTTGTGTTAATATGCTGTATAAATTACACGTCTCTTTAAATATTTGACTGGACAGTCTGGTAGATTTAGGAGTTTCAGGACAGCAGGGTCTGGACCTGTTGGGGGGATCTGGGTACCAGGTTTTCTGGGTCTTTGTAAGTGTTAGCGGGGCTGTTCAGAGCTGCGTAAACCTCTCCGTAGGCTCTGCACACCAGCTCTGTTGACTGACGGAAAATCTGCTCCCTGCAAAAACACATCAAACTCATGATAAGCTGAAAAATCTTTCAGTGTTTTTTTTTTTTTTTAAAGGCTGAATCAGATGTGCATCATATGTTTGACTTGATCAGAGCTGAAATAAGTCACCCTGAATTAAAGTTGATTTTTCCCCCCCTTCAGTACCAACTGTGAGCTTCTCACTACAAAACAAACGAGTGTGTGGTGCTTACTGCCATCTATAGACACACAAGGACTGCAAGGAAATACAAAAAAAAAAAAAGAAGAAGCGAACACAACAAATCATTTAAAATAAAAATCCCCATCGTGAAAGTTTCATCGTTTAAACCCGGGGTGTCAAATTGAGTTACACAGAATTAAATGCTTATTTGAGTCAAAATTTAACAAAATACTTATTTAACTTTGATTATTACATGTAATATGTTCAATTATTTACAAAATGAGATAAATTACCTTTTCCCCAGACATACATTGTTTATATCAAACATAAAAGTGCTGGTCATAAAATTAGAATATCATGAAAAAGTAGATTTATTTCAGTAATTCCATATAAAAAGTGAAACTTGTATATTATATTCATTCATTTCACAGAGACTGATATATTTGATAAGTTTTTTCTTTTAATTTTGACGATTATAAATGACAGCTAATGAAAACCCCCAATTGCATTTCACAGACAACTGGAATATTGTGAAAAGATTTAATATTGAAGACGTCAGGTGCCACAGGCTCATCAGCTTCTGAGATAATGAATTTGGAATTTTCATTGTCAGTTATAATA